ACAGGTTATACAAATGCTCCAAATCTGCCATTCATACTGGTGCGATCATAGTTACAGGTATCCTATCTTAACTAATCGACAGAATGATGTTGCTATAATACTGTTTATATATTACATAGGTGATTATCCAAATTTCACCGGCAGTGGGTTTTGAACTCACAACCTACCACTTGGGGGTATGACAACTTATCCACTTCACTAAGTCACCACACCTTTAATTTAAGTTTTTAATATTTTTAAAACTATATTATTTTTAACAAAAAATTTACTAAAAACTGTCATATCTTACATACAACTAACCAAGTTTTATATAATACATTATAGTTATTTAATACTTGTAATTACAAAAATTATCTGTTTAACTACTATATAATACTATTTCTATAATTGTAAAATTTACTAAAGTCTTAATACCTATTTTCAATATTTTTTTTATTATTTTCTACTAATCACTACTCAAAACTAACAGATTCTAACTAAACTACCAATTTAAATAATCTAATATAGTATATTTTTGAATCTTTTTCTTTAAACAAATCTAATAATCTAATTGGTTATATGTTTTTCTATATATATTTATTATCTAATTTATCAAATTTGTTTTTATTAAAGTGATTTATAAGTTTTAATCAATTTAAAATACTATTAAAAATTCATATTATCTTTTTATTTAAGAATTTTCAAGTAGGTTTCTGTCTCAATTTCTTAATATTTTACATCTAATGATTTATTACAGATTTACATCAAAGTTTTATACAATATTAATAAACATTCCTATATATATATATAATGTTACACTTTATATAGATACCTAAACTTCCAAATCACTAAATTTGATATATCTGAGTTACAATTGCATAAGACCAATTAATTAACAAGAAACAGTTACTATAACACAAATATAATTTCCAAATTTCATTATAGGTGAGATTTGAACATTAGACTTGCCACTTGAAGATAACAACCCAACCACTACACTAGGATTACCATTCTCAGAAGAATATTTATATAATATTCGTTATCTTAATTTTAAAATCAAAAATTGTTATTTTTTTATATAAATATTTGTTTAGTTAATACGTATAAAAAGACAACTTCTGAATTTGTAAGTTTTTAAATTAATAGTTTATGACAGTCAAGTCTTGCGCTAGGAATATAGTCAGATAGTAATTGAAATTAGTCACTTAACCTGTCACATATTTCGGACGTGCCATTTTTATGACACTACTAACCTACCTAATTTTTACATGACCTTAGTAATAAAAGCCAAATTAGTTTTTCATAAGATTGTTTTCAGTTTTAAATTCTTTAAGAATGGTATGTTTATTATTATAAAGAAGGAAATTTAAACACGTTACAAAGGTGTAATAACTTATGTTATCAATGGGGTTAGCATATGGATAAAAGTTGCATTTCGACTTGTTTTATTATAAAAATCAATGCTAATCTTATTATAGAACATGGTACACAAAAAATTAGTAAAACTCCGGACAAACGAATTAATTAATCGTTGTAGTTTTCTTATAACAAATTACATAGAACGATCAACTTGGAAATTTTACATACGTACATACTCTTTCTAATTTATTTCTGACCTTTACTGAACCAAATAAACATTCTACATTTCCAAATATGTGGTATCGTTATAAGTATACGCATCACTTACAAGTACTGCTAAATAAAATAGGCCTTTGTTACAGAACTTGTTATTCTGGTGATCAGTATATGTAGTCAAAGTTCTTACAATTGCAATCATACAAGATTTTTTTTTTTATAAACGCATAGCTATTATCTTTAATCGTTGTCTTCTATAAATTCTAAGAGAATCTCTGTGTCAATGTCATCAATCACATTTTCAATACAGAAACGAAGTTTGTCCAAAAGTGTGTCTGGTATGATAAGAATTACATCATGCTTTCTCACCACTATAATAGCCGTCTTAGTATGTCCAATATTTGTGACGGCCGAAGTTCATTCAACATCGTTATACGAACTTTCCTAACCTTGCAACATTTACATGTGAAGAAATTATAACACTCGATCATTCAACATCAGATCCTTATCGTGATAATTAGACACTATACTGATGACAAAATTTTCATTAATTCCATACTCTTCTTCTACTAGATTACACATCTCATTCTTAAAACGCAAGTGTAGATTCTTATCAACATCCTGAAACGAAACAGAAATCATATTAGCACATTGTGCCATCATTGTGTTTGGGGTCTTGCTACTTTCGAGTCTACTCACACTGGACCCTGCAAACTGGTCTATATGGACGATTCCTGTAGGAAAATTAGCCACGTACAGGCTCACTCCCGCAGCGTAACTTACACCAGCCACCCACTCAGCAGGCAATGCAAGCGGATTCGCATAACGAATCTCACCTGTTGTTCATTCCTGGTTACATTCATCTTGGGTTGTGTATTGAATCTTTAAAAATTAATTTTAAAAATCAAAGATTAACGTTATCGCTATCACTATATAAATTTTACTTAAAGGTCCTGTACAATACGATATAAATGGCATGAGGTCAAAGGCATGCCCAAAACCTAAATAGTCAATAGGCATGCAGCAAAAATACTATTCCTGATAGATCTGCAATATACATGTGGCCGAAATGTTTCGACCATTTTGGCCACTTCAAAGCTAAGTTATTAATAATTTGTAAATATGATAGAAATTAGGCTTCTATATGTTAAGCCAGATCCGCAGAACCTTATGCAAACCTTTTCATATTTCGGCAAGACCTTTTGGTATTTCGGTAGACTCTGAAATTTTCGAAAATCCGAACTTAATATACAGCCGAAACTTCTGAGTCTGCCGAAAATACCAAAAGGTCTTGCCGAAATCCAAGGACTTGCATAAGGTTTTGTAGATCTGGCTTAACATATGTGAAGCCTAATTTCTATTATATTTACAAATTATTGATAACTTTGCTTTGAACATTTGCCAAGTGGCCGAAATGGTCGAAACATTTCGGCCACATGTATAATCTGCAATATCAATACTGATTAGGGATCGGTTCTTTGGGATCGATCCTTCAGATCCTTTTAAGGATTGATAAGACTTATTTGCAGAATCTATAAGCGACTTTATTCTTAGAGTCTACAATGTGGCCGAAATGGAAAAAGATTTCAGCCACAGGTATATCCCTTATCGTTATCGTAATTTGTATTTCTTATGTACTGTATTTATATTATACGTACAGTCGATATAATTGTATAGACTCTCTAAATGCATAAAAAATTTTGGTTTTAAATGATTAATCCAAAATGACTCTTATAATCTAAATGCATATATTGTCTAAATGAACCAAAAAGTTGGCATGCAATTAGACAATATATCGACTGTATCTACAAAGAAAGTTCAAAAAAAAAGATTATGGGCCGAAGAATCATGAACTGGTCTTTTTCGAGAATGTTTACACTTTTATAAAGTTCAGATACATAATTATGTATAAAATTAGGAATTTGTTATTTCCACCCCTACGTAGCAGTCTTTAATCCTAATCCTAAATTAGATTAAAGTTAGGTGTCCATAACAATACCCTAAAATTAGTATTAACCATTTTTACTTAATAAATTGGATATCTTTGATAAATTGGGTACGTACTAATATGTCTTTTGTCGCTCGCTATAATGCTACGTAGACTTTTTTTAAAACATGATTAAAGTTCGAATATTTAAATCTGATCATTTATTTTTAATTTTTAATTGCAGAATAATGTTTATCGATATATAAAATTGACTTCAAATTAGCACATCAAGAACCTAAAATTTGAGTCAGTTAACTTAATCGATTAAGTCATTCGGTCTTTTTATTTGAAAAGGAAAACAAGTATCCTATACACAAAGCGAATCCGTGAGTAACTCTTTTCACATAGTCTATCAATCCTCTTAGCGCCCATGCACCTTCGCATGTATAACCACCTGCTTGAATTCGACCGAATGTAAGTTCGTCATCGTACGAACTTAGAATAATCTGACAATTGATTTGACAATATATATATATATATGTATGTATGGAAACAAATCTATTATGTGTTACACGGTTATTGTACTATTTCTGAAAACAATTTCCTGAAAAGACATGCTTGCTAACTTTGTCTTGGCTTTCGGATCTTGGGTTACATCATTCAAAATGGTGATACCAATAATCCTAATTCCATGTTTCACGAATTTCTTTTAGTGCATTTTTGGTAAACATGCAAGGGCGAAACACCACATTTATATAGTCTTCTCCTCATGCTTCACGTTATATTTATCGACAAACACAACCCACAATTTCATTTTAATGTAAATCTTTTGTTCCGATGAGGTTATGAAATCGAGCATTTAATAAATATGGTTCTCAAAATTTTTCTAAACGTAAAAATGAAAATTTTAATTTGTTAAAAAAAATCGTTGCCCAAAATGATTTATATAATGCGTGTTCAATTTTAGACTACAATAAACCGTTAAGGATTTGAAACAGTGTTACTTAATTTAGCATATTTGTTAATTCGTGTTACACGACCTGATCTGTCATTCGTGTTCGTGCAATTTCAATCTACAATACATTTTTATTTATCTTTTTTGTGTATATTATTGTTGTATATATAATTGTCTTGTTTGTTCTTTATTGATTCCAAAGTCCATAAATTCTTAAACTCCCCTTGGCTTCGTATCAAAGCTTTTGCTCACCAGCGCATTATCCAACTTATACGCTGTGGCTTCTTTTTTTTCATATTAAGCTTTGGTAAGGTGATTTTGCGTTTTTTTTTCTCCTGCAGGTTAATACTTTTTTTGCAACTCGAATGGGCCTATGTGTTACAACTATTCAAACTGTTTTTGTTATCCTTAAATAACCAGTATTTTTCATTTAATCTATTTTCAAGGTCTTTCATCTCCTCCTCTTTTTTCATCCTTGATACTTGTTGCTGGTCAGCAAGTTTATAATTAGACTTTCATCACAGATTCTCTTAAATCTCATTCTTTAAATTTTCAAAGCAAACTATGGCGAAAACACTATCCTATAAAGCAATTAGTAAACCAATCCTTGGTTCTTTTGCCTTCCTAGAAATCCTATATTTTGCCACTGGTGTTTTAATGATCTCGCTTGGTATTGTATGGTTCATGTCACTTGGTCAAAACTTACGCAGTATTGTGATGACAAGTGGTCTGATAATAGGTGCGTGTTAATTTTCCTTATAAATTAATATCTGTGTATTTATTTATTTAGGTCAATATTTCATTATTTGCAGGTGGCATTTCTGTTGGTGCATTTACTGTAGTGTCATTTCTTGTCGCTGTTGTTGGTTTCAGTAATCCTTTGAGACACAAGAATTGGTTGATTGTTCATGTAATCATGATTGTTTTAACTTCGCTGGCTCTTTTGGCTTTGGGTGGTGACATTTGGTTCAGGACCTTAAATGAAAGACAACAATTTGGCAATGAGTGGCTCAGATGGGATGAAAGCATGAAAATTATGTTCGAGGACCAAGTATGTATACATTACAATTATTTCATTTATTGTTTTTTTCATCGTTAATTGCTTAGTTTATTTTTGTTTATAGCTTCAGTGCTGCGGATATCAAAATTCAACCGATAACCCTGCTTCATCACGATGCACTCAAGACGTGGACCCATCAATACCAGGTTGTATAGGACCAATAACTTCACGAGCTGACAGACTTTCTCGTCAATTATTCACTACATTATTTGGCTTCATAACTGTGGATATATTAGCTTTCTTTGCCACGATCATACTGATACAAGCAAGAAATGTTGAAGAACGTTATATAAAAATTGATGAAAAACATAGTCATATCAGAGACGAAGCATTAAAAATACAATATGTTTAAACTACTGCTTAATAATTTAGAAACTTTGACTATTTTTAGAAACAGTTATATTTTAGTTTTAGAGCTTAACCAAGTTTCTATTCCTTTCCTGTATATATTGTTGAGGGGTAAATTATGTGAACCAAATTTTTTTTTAAATTTTACAATCCATATTTTGTATGTAAAAAAAAAAATTTACGGTAATAATAACGATAATAAAGGTGTTGTTATTTATTACTTCTTTTCTTGCATCGCTTTTTTTTGCCAAAATTAGTTCAGACAGTATAATATTTAATATGAACTTTGGGAAAACATTGACCAAAACTTTTTAAATCTATTATATTATGCATATTAAAATAAATTCGGGTTGAGAATAAAAAAAAGTACAGTGAAACCCTTGGGACTTGGTGCCAAGTGTTGTATCACTCGTGTTTCCGCACCCTCCAACCTCTGCACGTGCATAACCTGGACCTATACGTGTGGTTGGTCAACTAATTAAATCAAATCTATATGTTGACTCATAATTAAACAATTAAGCCAATTTTTTAATGCGAATGTATTATTACACGAATGAATATAACTTTTCAATAAGAATTTATTATACGAAAGTGATAGATTTTTGAAATCTAAATCCTCTCTCGGTATTAATTCTATGAACTTAAGAATAACATAAAACAGATTAAAAAATATGCTTTTTTAATCTGTCGTGAAGATTTTTCTTATTAAATTTCAAATTTCAAAATTTTTTAATTTTAATATTTTATAATAATCTAAAGTTTATAAAATATGAAATTTTAAATGCAAAAAGAAAAATCCTCATGACAAATTAAAAAGTTTACTTTTTTGTTATTTTTAAGTTCTAAGAATTAATACCGCAATTTCAAACTCCATCACTTTTGTATAATAAATTTCTTATTGAAAAGTGATATTCATTTGTATAACAATACATTTGTATTAAAAATTGGCCTAATTATTTAACTATAGATTTTTTTTTTTTTTTTAATATTAAGATGAGTACTTGTGACCCAGGATATTATTGATAGTATATTTGGCTAATAGTTGCATTACAACCACAAGGGCAACCATGGAGAGAGTGTACAACTAGCTACTCATACAACTTTAGTCATTGTCTAATTTAAGTAGTCTGTCCAAAGGTTCTACACTAGCTGCCATACCTGGAACCCACTTGTAAGTTCCCTATTTTACCACTCTGTTTTCATATCCACTCATCTACCTCTGCCTACCAACAATCCCAGTTGATACCAATGAAAATATATCATGATTATTAAGTCTTTAAAGCAGTTCATTCATATGAAAAATCTTTGATCTTGTACTAAACCTTTCAGAATCTTCTGTATCCTATTCTTACAGTTGACCTGGTATCATTATGGTTGAGACCAACACTGGTGATCAGGGTTTACTATTAAACTGCTATGTCTTTGTAGAGTTCACCCCAATCCTGATACTAACTTCACAACATATCCTTACTATTTTGGTATTCAATTTAAGTTCTATCAAGCTGTTATTTCAGATAGTCTGGAAAAGTAAGATGAGATTATATCTTTGGTTTATATGTTTGTTAACATGTATCCTTTTTCTTCAAAATCCAAAAATTCTGATGACCTGGTTGGTTCATTCAGTTCCTTCTCAAAGACCAGTACATTTGCTTAGTTTTACGAGTTCTAGCTCTGTTTTATAAGTCTAGTCTTTACATTAGCAATTTAACTATGAATTTATATATAGGTTTGATTTAATTAGTTGACCAACTACACTTATAAACAAAAATTATTTTATAATAAGGTGAAACCTAAACCTGAATTAGAATTTTACTAATGCTAATTACATCTAATTTAGTAATTTTTTAATCCTAACCCTAATAAAAATAAAGATCTGCATCAAATGTATCAAAAAGGTAATCTAAACAACTCAGGTTTTACTTTGTCATATTATTTTCATAATCAAAGATTGGTGACCAACCAATTAGATAATAGTACTTTAGTCATATGATAAGCAAATACAATAACCTTATAATTTTTTTTCAAAAATTTGTTCAAAAATTTGTTCAAAAATATTTTAATAAAATTTGATAAATTTTTTATTTATTTAAATTTTATAATTTTATAAAATTTAATTGAATTTTTATAGACAAAATCAATAGTTTGAAATAGACTAAAAACAAAACTAAGTTTATTTAAGAAGTTAAAAATTAAATATAAATCTTATAAAACAAGTTTAAATATATGAGGAGGTGTCAATAGAAACCAAGCAAATTGTTTCTAAGTAAATTTTTTTAAAGTTTAAAGTAAAATATCTCAACAATTATTAAATCAAACTTGATAAAAATTTTTTATTTTAATTTTATATAGTTATATAATTAAAAGAAAAAAAATTCACCAAGATTGGTTTAATAGTTGTTAAGATATTTTAATTTAAAATTTTAAAAAAACATACTAAAAACAATTTGCTTGAAGGGTGTGGTGACCTAGTGAAGTGGATAGGTTGTTAACCCTCAAGTGGCAGGTCTAAGGTTCAATTCCCATAGACAACGAATTTTGGAAATTATATCTGTTTTACGGTAACTGTCTCTTGCTGATCAGTTGGGTTATGGGCATCTGTAATCTTAGGTACACCAAGTTGGGTCCCACCTGATATTAGAAGCTTGGGGCATCTATGCAAAGTGTAACATTACACAGTACATGTACATAGAGAAATGTAAAACTGGTATCATATAAGGCTTCAGGCAAACCCATGATAAGACCACTAGGTGTAGAAGGCTAAGAAACTGAAAAGACGGAAACTCATTTGGAAATTCCAAGTAAAGAGGTAGCACAAACTTTCAATAGTGCCATTGGACTGATAGAAGCCCATGAAACACCTTCATAGAACTGTTGGATAAACCAAATGACAAAGATGTGTAGAGGAGTACATGATCAACCAGGCTGCCAGAATCACCAGAGGAAAAGAATACATAAGTATACCATACCAGGCCATCTGGATTGGAAGTCTGGAGAGTTAGTTAGTTCTGAGTTGTGGCCAGTAGAGGATGATAGAGAAGAAATCAGAAAGATGGGTACCAGAGTTTGGGTGAACTTTACAAGGATAATAGCAGTTTAAGGGGTAACTCTGACTGCAAGTGTTAGTCTTGGCCATAGCATCAAACCAGGTTAGTAGTAAAAGGGAATACAGCTCACTCTGGTAGGTTTGCCTCGAGATTAAAAATAGTCTAAGGATTATAGTCCTATGGTTAATAGCGAATAGATCCAGGTCTGTGACCTGGTAAAATTAATACTAGGGTTAGATTAGAGAGTTTAAATAAAACACATAAGCAGGAGTGTTAGATATGGCAACTGGTAGAGAACCCTTGAGTGAACTCCTTAAATAGGTAATATAGAAAAGTTACACATGTAGCCAGTTGTACACTCATCTAATAGTTCATTATAGATACGTCTATATAAACATGTACTCGCTATAAGTATTAATAAAAAGCTCAGACCAAAGAGGTCACCTTAATATTAAAAAAAAAAAACAATTTGTTTGGTTTCTATTGACACCCTCTTATATGTACAAATTTAAATAAAAAAATCTTAAAAAAAGATTTAATTGTAAAATATAAGTATTATATATTGTTACAAAGTAGTTTTTTTTTTTTTGACAGCCTTGTTGAAGCTTTAATACAAAAGTTTACAAACTAAAACATTAACTATTTCTAGTAATTTATTTTTTGAAATTGCAAGCTCAGTATCATCCAAGTACAAAACCTGCATCTAAATACAACTTGTCATATCAATCTATTTTTAGATTAGAAAACATTATCAGTTCTGTCAAGAACTGAATCAGAATAGATTATTTTTATTCTGTATTATTTCATTAATATCTTCTATAAACAACTACCTATACTTTATATCTTTTTTTTTGTTTTTTCTATTTTGACCTTATTTATTAATATTTCTTTACTTTTATTTTTTTTTTTTGAAATTAAGGTGACCTCTTTGGTCTTTTGACTTTTATTAGTCACTTATCAGTATTGTAGTTCAATGAACAACTATAGGAGAGTGTACAATTGGCTACATGTATAACTTTTCTATATTACCTATTTAAGAAGTCTGCTTGAAGGTTTTCTACTAATTGTCATATCTAACATCTCTGCTTGGGCATTCTACTTTAAACCCTCTGAACCTGTAACCTGTGTTAACATCACTAGTCATCTCTGATGCCCAGATCATCATCCTTAACCTTAGAACTAATTTATCCTTAAAGTAAACCCCTTAGAGCTTTTTGTACTCATTTTTATAGTTGACCTAGATATCGCTATGACAGAACCAACACTTGTGGTCAGGGCTAACCATTAAACTGCTATGCTTTTGTAGAGTTCACTTAGACTCCAGTATCTATTTCACAGCATAACTCTAGTATTTTAGTATACTTCTGCCTTTTCTCCTGTCTTTTTATCAAACTTCCAATCCAGATAGCCTATGTAGGACTATGACCAGTCCATTAGTATATTAAGTTAGCCTGATATCCTTTTTCTATAGTTTATTCTAGCAGCCTAGTTGGTGGCACCTCTGAGACTTTCAACTCAGAGGTTCTTACCTATTCAGCTTCTAGGACCAGGTACTAGATCTTGGTATCTGTTTCACTGAGCTAGCCTTTACAGCAGGGCCATTGTAGATCCAGCTACTTTTCTACTTAGGTTTTCTCAAATGAACTTCTTGTTACCCAATTTTAACAGATTTATATAGCCACAAGAACTTATCTAGTGTTTACATCACCTGATATATTAGTTTGCATTCTTTTGTGTAACTCCAATATTGCACAAATGTCCTATGACCTGCCAGTCATGCTGGTGTAACTGCCATTATAAGTATCCTAACCTAATCATTAGTAACAATTGCTATAATACGAATATTACATAGGTGATTATCCAAATTTTTGCTATTGACGGGATTTGAACACCCAATCTACCACTTGAGAGGTTGACAACCTGACCACTTTACTAGGTCACCACATTCCATTTTCTTTAC